CAGAAAAAAAAACTCTTTGAAATAATTTTATTTAGCTTATTGAGTTTTTTGTGTGTTGTTGATAATGTTATCAGAAATAAATCTTCATCAAAAACTATGCCGTTCAACTTGGAGAAGACAAAGAGGAGGGAGGGGAAGGAGGGGGAGAGGAAGGGAGGGGAAAAGGAGCACAGGGAAGCAAAAGGGTCATAAAAACATATGCTTTTAACAGATAATATCGTAATGTACTTTTCAACAAAAAAAAATGTGAATTCACAGAACAAAAACGAAAAACAGAAATCACTGCTGAAAGTTGACGTAAAAGCCATAGGACAGAATGCTGAAATTTTCAAAGATTTTTCTGCTAATACAGGTGCTCGAATTTACAGGTATTAATTCTTAAAAAAAAAATTTTCTCTGTTTAGTGTTCAATAATCTATGTTATTTTGTTAATTGTTCAACAAAATTTACAACAACATTCTTTTTATTATATTCTTCTCTCCTTCTTTTTTTTTTTTCTTTCTTTCTTTCTTCTGCTATTACTTAAGGACAGTTAACAAGGTAAATATTATTCCTTTCTTTTTTTTTTGTACGTCTATAATTTCCCAAATGAATGCTATTGATATTTACAGTATACAAATACTTAAAAGTGTTTTTTTTTTTTTGAAATTAATTACTAATTATCAGTAGCTAAAAGTAATATATTGTTGTCAATTTGTTAAGCGCTAATTATAAGGTTACTATTACATCAGTGATTTTTGACAAAAGAAACAAAAAATTAACAGAACTAAAAATTTTTTATTCAAATGCAACTATAATATTTTGTTTTAAATTATTTATTTTCTTTTCACTACCACAAAAATTAGTCGTAAATGCAAAAAAAAAAAAAAAAACTATGATAGACATTTGTATTTTTTTTGCATAATTAAAATTTTTATTCACGGTAACATCAATTGTACACAGAATTGTGAATAAAAAATTAGCTCTTTTTTTTTGAAATTTTTTCTTTCTTCTCCCACTAATTTTGGATAAGATTTATTTATTGTCCAGAAAGCGTTCTGCTAATTGTTTCAGTAATTTTTAGCTAAAAAATTAAACTCTTAATTTTATCATCCTTTCCACTTGTCCGCTGTCGACAACCATCTGAATCAGTGAATTGGAATACAATTTAGAAACGTAAATTAAGCTGAAGTTTTAACAACAACAAAAAAAAGAAACTACAGTTTGTTTTGTTTTGTCGCAAATTCTCCAGAAAAACAAAATTTTTGTGTAAAATGTAACTTTTTTTTTTTTTTTTTTTTT